AATGCTTCCAAGTCTCAGAGCCTTGACAATTATGACTGCACGACTATTTAATAATTATGATTTTTTTTTCCAAATCTGTGGTCTTAGAATATTTTTTAAATCTCACATTTTAACTATTTTTTCTCCAAATCTTGCATTACAAAGATTGTTATTAATCCCAAATTTCTATTTTCAGACTCTACACAAATGTCAAAGCCCTATAATCTTGGGAATCTATCTTTTTAGTAAATAATCTTTCAGTTTTTTTTTCAAGTATTGTTCTATTGGTCGTGGGTATTAAATTTCATGAACCATGGTTAGTTTCACGTTGAGCGAGCTCAAACGTCAGTTGGTTTCACATTTTTTTTTGTGTTTAACTTTGTATATCAGCGCGAGTACTGAAAGGTTAATGTTTATGTTAGTATAGATATTGGAGTGAATACACATTTTCTTTATCCGATATCACTATCAATTTGCTCTAATTCTCATTTAAGTATCAAGTTCATTTTTCTGAAATATTTTTTTTTTAAACCACTTCTTATTCTTCACAATTCTGTCTTATAACCTATTCATCCAGATAGCATTTGGCCCAGTCTTAATCTCTGTTACCCGATAAATTCCAGGGCTTTAAAATCATAAGATGTATCGAGCATAAAAAGTGGTGGAATTCGATTCATCAAAGTATCTAGAAAGATCAATAAATTATTTTGAATACATTAAGTGATTCATGGAGCTGAATTTTTCCTATAGCTTTTGAAATTTGGCTTTATTTTCCCATAAATAATCAATAAAAGTTTACAGTTGGCCACGTTTTAAAAAATGCGTACAATTTCGTTGTTTGTTGATTATCAACAACCGGGAAATTTTTAAGATTTGAACCGGGAAAACCGGGAATTTCAAAAAGAAAAGTCACTGACCAACATGATTATTAATTTTTTCTGTATTGAGTATTGGTAACACTATTGAGAATTGCATATAGAACTACACAGTTCAAAAAAGTAGTGTAAATTTCTATTCAATATGATGCACATAAATGGAGCGTCAAATATCATATACGTTTACATTATATATCATGTAAAGTTCTGACACATTTCATGCAATGTAGCAAATATTGTATACAAAATCCCATATTTGTATACAACATTGTTTGCAAGTTGCTTGATTGCGTGAAATGAAATACAAGTTTACGTGTGTGAATGTTTACATCACAATTAAAATTCAGAGTTTTTATCTGTGTAGCTGTGGTCCCTCTTACCCTGTCGAGCGTTCTTACCCCGTCTTCACCTGCGAATGTGACCGACGCCAGGGAGGCAGCTCTCACACCTGGACCCTACCTATCGATCCATCCACTCATGGACCGGGGACGAACGATTTTATTTCCCTTCCGAAGGAAGGCGTGATCAGAGATGTTATGCCTCAGAAAATCCCGACGGCGCTGACTGGGATTGAAACCAGTCCTGCTGGGGTGAGAGGTAATCACGCTTACCACTACACTACCGGCGCCACTACAGATACAACTTGTTGCAAACCACTTTTTGATAAAATTTAAGTAACAAAAGCTGTTAATGATTCTAGCCACGAATGTCTTATGATCCAGCTCAATCAACTCAAGCATAACTATTCAAATCGACGTACAGCTATCCCCCGAAGAACGCGTTACCCACTGAGTTGCACCCACCGCTTTTTCTCGGCAGGGTTTCAACCAGTCGGTCTGATTTTTTGCATGTGAGTAGTGGCAATGGAGAACTTGCAGAAAATCAGAGCGCTTGGTTGAAAACGCACCGAGACAAAGTGGTGGGTAGAACTCAGTGGGTAACGCGTTCTTCGGGGGAAAGCTGTATCTGATTTTGTAAACAATCACTTCAAATGACGATTTATGGTAACTGCAAGCTCACTCACAGAAACTAACAACACCAGCTAGTAGGCGAAAGTGTCTCCTATCTGATGATAGTGTTTGTTTGCGTGGGTGAGTTAGCACTTAGGACAAATAGTCGATTGAAGAGATTGTTTACAAAAGCAGATACGTCGATTTGAATAGTTACGCTTGAACTGTTCAGCAAGCCAACATTCTGCAAAGTTGTAGCTGAGAAAATTTCCCATAAGAATAGCTATAGAACTTTTTAACAGTGCAATATGGAAGAAGGCAAGAAGACTATGAACACAAATTTTGGATTTCCCATAGTAATTTTCCATATAAACTTCAAATCGTTCAGTTTCTTAGCAAGTTACCGAGTTCAAATTTTGAGAGGCTAATTAGGACCCGATTTGGAACCGTTTTAGCACTGTGGAGCGAACATTTCAAATATTGCATCAGTCTAATATACATAGTGTAGTAAGGAGCGATAAAAATAGAATAGGGATTAATGCCTTAATGCCTCTTCAGTAACGGGGGTTTTAAGCAACTTAATTTGAAACTCGTATAAACTTATTAAGAGTAGCGTGTCAAGATGTGTTTTTCAAAACATTAATGGTTGTTATCAATGATAACAGCTACGGATGTTCGGACAGGAAATGAACATGCCTATATATGATCTGATTGACTGCACTGCCTGTAATCGCATATCAGTCCCATATGGAAAAAAAAGGCATTGAGAAAATGCTAACATGAAGCTTTAGTGTGATAATTTATTAGCTAGAGAACGATCTTTAGAAGAGAGTAGGTGGATAGTTCCGTTAGAGTACGGCAGTATGAAAATTGAATAGAAGTTGAAAATGAGCGAAGGGCCATTAATGCGACAGTTTTTTTAAAGTTAGACACACATCTTTTGCCTAACTCGTACGATGTACGCGGAGACTTGAAGTATGTCTCCAAGTCTACAGGCAAAAAATGTGCTCCAAATTTTTTCAACCTAAAATCTGTCATAATGAAGCTTGCATGTTCTGTTATAGAAGCGAAAAATATGGCAATTCAAAAAGCAGAATTTTAACTTGAACGATTGAATTTCAGGATGGGACTGATATGCGATTACTTTGCTTGATGGGACAAACTGAGATGTTGTTTTCATATTTTTCGTGATCAAAGTCCATAGTTTTATCACATAATATGAAAGTAGATGCCAATTGATAGTGGATAGCGTTATCTAAAAAATGACGAAAATCCATATGGGACTGATATGCGATTATAGGCAGTGCACCTTCGACCAATAACTGAGAGAAGGAGAGAGCTCATCCTTTGATAAATCATTATACCGTTCGAATAGCAAATACAATATAGTTTGAGTTTATCCGTGTCTTCCCTTAAAGTGTTCTTGACCACCCAACGGATATTGGTAAGTTTTTGTCGAATTGCATTCCCCAATGTACTTAGATGGTGTTATTCAACAGAAAATGTCAAATGTTGAGAAATCGCAGCGTAAGAGTTTGACTAGGTGATAAATTGGACGTAATCAAGCAGTTGGAGGACAAAACTTGTTCCAAGGCAACCATTGCGAGAAAATATGTTGTGAATGCTACCATAAGGAAAATTGAACGGTTGCTGCAAGCTTCCTCAAAGAGAGGTATCAGGAACTGCAGCGTCCGGTAAATATGGTCAGTTGGAGCAGGCCTATTCTATTGGTAGGGTTAACTACCCCATTTCCGGCCTATAATGCACAACCCGCACTTAGTCTTACTTAATCTAGCGTAGTTAGCACCAAACGGATTGTTATTATTACTGATGGCTTCCAAATTTATCTACCTTTCCGTACGTACCATAAGATTTGATAAAGAGAAACAAATTGTTGGGATATTGTTAAAAGTCTAACACTGCTTCTTGATGCCAAACTCGGCCTACGGATTCTAAACTCGGCCTAACGCATTAAAACGCCATTGAAACGCCAATGAATTCACTTTGGCCTATCGGATGAAGATAAAGATTGATTGGTTGGAGCGCTTCATTTGTATTTGAGAATATTGGGTGCAAACATTCATATCACGCGTTCTTATTGACTTCGTTCGGTACAATTTGAACTTATGTATCGTTCCAAACGCATAATCTACCTGTTAACGCCGAAATTATGGATTTACTTGATGTTTTCTGCTTGATAGGCCTAAAATGGGCGATTAGGCCGAAGTAGTTCTCCACCCTATATCCAAATGCGTGATAAGCACCAAAATATCACAAACAACTTAATTGTGGCACAAGTCAATTGTAATTGTAATTGTATGCAATTGAGCCGAATTTCAAATTCAGTGAGGCGTGGGTGCGAAACTTCAAGGGGCACTATGAGATTTCTCGCGCAACACGAGAAAAGGGCCTATCATTGTTGATCGTTCATCGATTTTCTCTTTCGCGAATAACCCGACTGCAGTGCTCTGGCTGAAAATCTCCTTAATAAAGACAACCAACCAACCATTCAGTGTGTTGATTCAGGTGCAAGCTAACATCATGTTCTGTCGAACTGTGCTCCGAGCTTAGCGAGAAATTCGTTTATGTTGCCGTGGTAAACCAAAGAGAAAGTCGATGAAGGGAATCGATCAACGAGGATAGGCCCTTTTCAAATGTTACGCGAGATTTGACGTTTGAAAATTTGTGGTGAAGAGTTATCAAGCGAGTTGTGTTGAGCCTTTTAAACAAAGATTGTTTTCATATTGTTACCGAAAACGGTTTTGCGGCTGATCAGTTGTATAATGCTGACGAGTCCGTGCACTTTTACAAAGCGCTTTATGGCTATACTCTCGTTCATAGTGATGAGATCTCAGCGCCAGGTTTCAAACAGGCTACAGAACGTGTTACGTTTATTCCATTTACCAACTCTTTGGGATTTCCAATAAATATTAAAATATGGTAGTGGATGCCAATTGATAGTGGATAGCGATGTTATTTCAAAATTGACAAAAATCCATATGGCACTGATATGCGACTATTGGCAGAACAATTCTCAATTGACGATTGTAGAAGTGCTCAATGAACACTAAGTTAAGGATACACAAAAGGTTGTAGTTGAAATGTAATAAATAGCCATGATGATGACAAGTTTGAGCCATATTGCAAAAGGTGTATCTGGAATCTGATGTTGGTTTATTTTCTTCTTTCGTTCCAGATATAATGGCTTTCTACCACAAGGTGACCGTGGGCGGCGTCGATCCAAATTTGTGCTGTACAAACGTGGCGAATCGAATGGCGTCAAACGGTCAAAGCACTACATTGTACAATCACCTCAGACATCACAGGCAATACTCGACGCGAAACAACATTCGATATCGTACACACTGTCACGAAATCAGGCCGTTATAGTAGAGTACAAAGAAGATCCCGATACGGATATGTTTCAGGTAGGTATTTTGTGAGATATAAATATCTCAACATTGAAATATGAATTGGATTACAAATGTCCTGCGCGGAAGTACGCAGCATAATTGTCCCATTTTAGTTTTTTTTTTATATTTTCCTATTTACGTTCTCGAATTTTTTTTACTATCAATCTTAAATTACATCGGCAAGAATTACGGCACCAGCAAGAATTATATAAACATACTATAGACATTACGTCATAAAGATCAGCAGACATCATTCGGATATAGGGCATAAACTTATCTGTTCTGGTTGTCCATATAGGCTCTGTTACTCGATTGTCAACGTTGGGTAGACAAATATAAGTCTTGCGCAAAAATGCATTATTTTCCAGGGAATCGTTTGGCCGAAATAGAGCGCTCAAGCTTAAGTAACGGTTGAAGACGTAAAACCCACTACATCGCTTTCATGATTTTTTCACGGAGTCTTTTACTTGATCCATTGTTCTAGAAGCACTGAATGAAACCCAGTGTGAAAGCAGTATAGTAATGAAATTAAACATTTCCTTCCGCAATATCAAATAGAATGTCACCATCTGTGTTGCAGTCTAGACCGCAAAACACACAGTTGCAACCGCAGAAGCGTATGCATTTCTCTTTCCCCTTTCGGGAATTGCAATTTTCTTCCGTAAACAGAATCCTCCTGGTATTGAATTACCGATGGCTCTCGGTATGAACAAAGACAAAGCAAGTCTGATGCTGACTTTATATGGTTGGATTGGTAAACCAAATGATGACGTCATAGTGTCGGGGTGTTTTCTTTCACGTAGAGCACACATCAATGATTAATATGTTGTATGGAAAATAGTTTTGGGGGAAATTGAATTTTTGCGTTTATTTTATTTCAAAGAATGTTTTCAGGTTACTATACAAAATCTTTGTTTCATAGTGCTACGATAACATACAGTGGTTGTTTTTAAATTAGCACAATAGGCCGTTTTTCATACAAACTAGCCAACTTTGGCATGTAGCAACTATGTTTTGTTATGATCAATTGAGCAGACATTTTGACACATAACTACACTACCTATAATCGCATATCAGTCCCATATGGATTTTCGTCAATTTTGAGATAACAAAGCTATCCATTATCAATTGGCATCTACTTTCATATTATGTGATAAAACTATGGACTTTGATAATGAAAAATGTGAAAACAACATCAAGTCAGTTTGTCCCATCAAGCAAAATAATCGCATATCAGTCCCATCCTGAAATTCAACCGTCCATATTTCAAGTTAAAGGTCTGCTTTTCGAATTGCCATTTTTTCGCTGATATAACAAAACATGCAAGCTTCATTACAATAGATTTTAACTTGAAAATATTATCAATAAATTTACTATGATTTTTCAAATATTTACATGGGAATTTCACTTCGTAACTTGGACTGCCATTTTCTCAATGCCTACTTTTTCCATATGGGACTGCTATGGGATTATAGACAGTTCAAATATACTGAATTTTGCGTGAACGTAATTTCAAATTATTGGAAGCGCTTGCCGGAAATTGACGGGGGCTGGTTGGAAATGGTCAACTAATAAGCACATTTACAATTCGAAATTTCCGAAGTGTTATAGGTTTAAAATTTTAAAACATATTGCCAATAAACAATGGTTAAGAAAGTTATTTACGATGTAGTCAAAAATTTCCGGAATAATAGACTTAGGAAATTTTGAATTATAAATGTGCTAATTAGTTGGCCATTTTCAACCAGCCCGTCAATTTCCGACAAGCGCTTTCAATAATTTGATATTACGTACACGCAAAATTCAGCATATTTGTAATTCTGTGTCAAAATTTCAGCTCAATTGATCATAACAAAACATAGTTGCAACATGCCAAAGTTGGCTAGTTTGTATGAAAATTGGCCTATTGTGCTAATTTAAAGGCCACCACTGTATGTCGAGAGAATTCTGTTTTTTTTGTGAAAATAAATTCCTTAAAGTTAAATGTACCATAAACAACAGTAGACACGGCAGATAGTAAATTTCCTATAATGTTGTCTACTTTTATCGCGATTAAATATATTCTGTTGTGTTTGTTACCATGAGATAGCAGCTAATGGCTTCTCAATGTAGAAGAACTCACAATAACCTTGGCAACGTCAGTCCAGATACGATTTGTTCGCTGCGCTTTCTCTTTGTTTTTTTTCTGCGTCTACCTGTTTCTTAAATAAACATTTATCTAACGGAATGTTTTCAACGTATACAGTTTGGAAATCATCACTTTAATATCTCTTCCAATCCGTCTATGAATACAATTCGTTGGGGACCCTAGTATAAAGGAATAAAATTCTCTTCTTGTTTGAGCTGAGACGGGTTTGAAAGGCTCGTGCAAACCTTTGTTCTATTGATCATAATAGGGGCTGTTCATAAATTACGTAGACCGTTTAAGATAGGTTGTAGAATATTAAAAATTCCCCTAAACTGTACACGTATATGGGCACTAGGGTGATGCAAAATTTGAAATTTTTGCTCCACAATACTTAAGCGATTCCAAATCGGATCCTGACTAACCTCTCAAAATTTGAACCCATTTGGTGAGAAACTGAGATGGCACAAACCATTTGAAGTTTGTATGGGAATTACTATGGTAAAACCAAGATTTTTGTTCATGTCTATCTAATAATTCACCATATCAGTCTGCTTCAAAAACTTTCAACTGTACTTGTAGGAAATTTTCCCAGCTACAACTTTGCTCAAGACCACTTTTTGATTAAATGCAAGGATCGAAAGTTATCAATGGTTCAATGCGCTGATGTCTTATGATCATGCTCAATCAACAGCTCAGCAGGCAACATTGGTGTTTCTGGGGCGTTGAATAGGACACAAAAATCATGGCTACTATGTCACACTGCAAAATACAGTGTTGCCTACAGAGCAGCTGCTTGATCATGTCATAAGTTTACCAATCTCTTAAATAATTAATTACTTTTTCCTGTCTCGTTTTACATAGAAACGATCTTCAGCAAAGTTGTAGCTGAGAAAATTTTCTATAAGAATGGCTATCAAACTGTTTCGCAGCTTAATATGGAAAAAGACTTGAAGGCAATGAACAAAAAGTTGAGATATCCCATAGTAATTTACATGTAAACTTCAAATGGCTTGTGCGAAGTCTGTTTCTAACCAAATGAGTTGTAACTTTGGGAGGTTAATCAGGGTCCGATTTGAAACCATTTAAGCACTGTGGAGCGAAAAAGTCAAATTTTGCATCAGTCTAATGGACACCCCCTAGTAGCGTTTATAAACGACTTAATGCATAATTATTGATTAGAAAACAAGATTAAATCATGTTTACTTCCATCGGTGCACATTCCGAGCAAAGTCCAGCATCAAAATGACAACAAAACGAAATCAAATTTTGATATCAACATACAACTGAAATCATAATTTTCAATCGAAAATTTGATAACAAATTTTGTTTTCATTTTGCTGTAAATTTGCTCTTCAAAAATATGTTGTTACAGTTTTATTTTCATTGCCCTAGCAGAACATCAAATTGAACGTCCGGTTTGTTATCGACAGAAAAAAATGTACATCAAATTGAGTTTTCAGTTTGCACTCACTGATAGCAGAATTAGTTTTCAATAAGAGGTCACAACATCAAATTTAGTTTTCAATTTGATCTCGAAACTCAAAAACCTGTCAATTTCGCTATCAGAGAGTCGCGATCAGCAATTTTACGATTCGTGAGTGATTACTCAGAGTGAGTCCTCACGAATCATAAAATCACTGATTATGACTCATGGAAAGCTAACACGATTCTATAACATTCGCCCGAATTGACCATTTACCCGAATGAACAATTTCAAAATAATTTTTGTGTTCCTAATAGGAACTTCCTATCATAGTAATAATAACATATTGATCGTGTTAGAGATGAACTAGCCTAAGGCTAAAAATCTCTTTAATAAAAATTAAAAATAAACAAAAAAAAATATTGATCATTAATTTTGTTTACTATTAACGCTTACATGGATTTGTTATCAAGGAAACATGATGTGCTGTTTAATATCCTTCATATACCATTTAGATCTCATTTTTGTTATGATTACTGTTAACTCGACCACACGGTAGGCAAAATATAGTTTGTTCTCACGAACGCTTATATCAAAATATCAAATTTTGTTTTAATTTTGTTTTCATTCTCTGTTCGGGATAACACTATCTTATTATGAGAGAGAGGGTTACGTTACATCAGTAGATTTTATTGCACTTTCAGGAAACAACAATATTTTGTATTGAATTCCAATGTAGGATGTCGTACTCTCTTCAGAATGCTGCTACTCACAATTCTTTTTGTGTTCTCCTGAAAATATATTTGGAACCCTTCCATGAAATTATATCAGCAATCCCTGGGAACTCAGGCCTCATAATTCACTTTGATTGATTGATTGATTAATTAACATTCATAAGATTCTTCGTCTTAGATTGTAGTTTACAGAATGAACATATTAATATAATGTGATCACTATAGACAGTGTCAGGTTGTAGCCATGCTTTCCGTACAGTTAATTCGTTTCGAAATTTTCTCACGATTTTCTTAGTATGCCTTCTAAAATTCTTTCCTATTATCCTTCGAATTCTCCTCTCAGTCCCTATAACATTGTCTTGATAACTTCCTTAGAATTTACTATTAGTTCTCCTTACAATTTTCTTAAAATACTTCTTAAATTTTTCTTGAAATACATCACATAATTTCTCTAGTAGTTTTACTATTGCCTCAGCAATTTCAAAATTGTCTTATGTTACAGAATCATGAGCCTTTTTTTTAGTTCGTAATGTTCAAAAAAGTTAGTTAGACATCTAACATATTATTTTTGGGATCCCATTGTTTTCTTTAAAAAAAAAAATCTAAGTTCAGTCTATCACTTAACAACATTCGACGTAGCGTTCGGTATAAGAAAAAAAAGTTGCAAAGAATTTTTTCCTTCCAAATCCGTAAAAAATATTTTTATAAAAAAAAACTTCTTCGTTTGTTT